AAGCAAATTCTAGATTCTGAACTCCCAAAATATATAAAATCACATAAGGAATAATATTTCAATTCCGTGCAATCACATCGTTTTGACCTATCATCTTCATGCCTTACCTCCATTGTTAGATAATAAGATCTGGACTAAAACGACACTTTGAACTTCTAATTCTTCTTGATACAATCATGCAATACATCATATTCTCAAATTCAAACCTCTCTTTAAAAAGAAAAAAAAAAAAAGACAACTCAATTGGACTCTCATCAAAAAATGTTATGAATTTTGAAACATGAATACGCGTTCACTACTTCGACTCATGTCAAGTCTCAACTTAGTTATTTGGTAGTGCAATCTGATCTCACCGTTAACATATCAAAGAATATCGAGTTCGCAGATAACAACCATTAGTCTATAACATATTTAGGTAATTCATAAGACAGTCGAATATATTTTAATTTTTGGGCACAGTCATACTATAAAAATTTATATATATATATATATATATATATACACACACACACACACACGAACTTCTTAAAATAAATTATCCATATCTATTCATTGATCTAAGACAAATCAATTCTCGATAAAAATATGAAATGTATGCACTTCTCAACGCAAACGCATGATTCATATTATTATTACAAGTCAAGAGTAACAGTCTTGTCTTTGTTTTCTGCATATATTAAAGATACTGGGATAATTCCACAATATTATTCGGGATACTTTTCTTTGTAATTATTTGTAACCTTATAATTAGAGCCTTTAATTTTATAATTGTTATCAAAATAATTAGACAAATTTAAAATGATTAATAATAGTGACAACAGATCATAACCATCATAATATGTTTACAAGCGTCATTGAAAGTAGTTGCTAACAAGCAAATTTCAGAATGGTCATGATACGTGATGAAGTTAGTAGATAACTCTCGATAACGCTCAATAAAATGATAGCTCGATAACTACCTTTCGGCAAAATTTAACAATAAACTTTCAATCATTTGCAAGTGAGATGTATTTGCACGTAGCTTGACATGTATAATTGTAATGTCTAAGAAATCTTAATGTTAATTTACCTAGATTGTAATTTCACACAAATACTACACATAATGTAATCAGAGGGTGTTTAGTTGGGATTAAAATTAGATTTTTTAGTAGATTGTAATAGAAGTTTTTGAAATGTGTGATTAAAAAGTTGTGAGACCCATAAAAAATGTAATTAATATTGATTGTTTGACTTTAACTTAAATTAAAATTAGATTTTAATCTGTACAAAACGGGCTCTCAATCTATCAAGTCAAATGGATCTTACGGTTTTACAACCTTATTCTTGACTTTCAAATCGCCGTTGGATTGAACAAAGAACGTTAGAACTAGAAGAAGGTAAGACGTTAACATAAAGTGTAACTATCTTTCACTTTCAAGGTGTACTTTGAGTGTTCCTCCTATCTGGGTAACGTAACCTAACTCCCCATATTGCATGCAATAACAAGATTTCTTTTACATAGGCCAATAAAATTAATTGGGTAACTTGCAAGTCATAACTACTGAAATTGAAATCAACGACAAATTATTAATCAAATTGATTAACGTCAATTTCTCAAGGTATCGGTCGAGGGTCCCTCTAGTATGATATTGTCACGTGACTCGTTGTCTCTTAATATTTATATTTTATACATATGTGTAAATTGACATATATAGTTCTAACATATACATTACGATAAAACAAATCTACCTAATACATATCTTATTCTTAACTTTCATTGTCGTCTTATGGATAAAGATTGTACAAACCAACGATCACTACAGATAAAACAAGAAAAGGTATAATGGCAAGATTTATAGAGTTCAAGTTTATTTCACTATCAATGGTGTACTTTCGAGAGTTCCCACGTTCTAGGTAGCTCAACCTAGTTCACCCATATTGCATGTAGTAACAAGATTTCTTTGACATAGGCCTACAAAAAACTAATTGAGTTACTTATATGTCAATGCTGCTGAATTGAAATCAACAAAAAAGTATTAATCAAATGGATTAACGTTAATTCTAATGAAGTCTTATTACAATTGGAGTTCTTGAGAACTTCCAGAGATTACTTCAATTAGTGGATGCGAAAGTCATTGTGAGTCACAGAAACACTTCTTCCTACAAATAATAATGAGGAATAAGACGGATGTAGTTATTAAACTTTTCATCATATTTTCAGTCTCCAGAGAGGATAAGTTTTTGAGAAAATTACATGGTACCAAGTACTTAAAGACCACAATTCAAAAGACAAGGACCAAGTTCCATTGTGCACAAATCAGGTTTTGACATAATATAATGAACCATAATTTTATTCCCACCCAATTCTAACACTCGCAATCTCTCTCACACTCGCAGTCTCTGTCTCCCTTTCCATCTTCTTCCTCATTCAGATTATGCCGCCGCCGCCACCGCTACCATTGGAGTATCACCCACTAGAGATCAACCTCATTCCACTTCACCGTTGCCAGCACATTGCTACGGGAATGAAGAGATTGGAGCCTACGACGAAAGCTCCGATCTGAAATTCGCTCTGACGATTTGCTGTGGCCGATGGTTTGCGAGGTATATGTGCTGTGAAAAATTCTCCGATGAGTTGCTGTGAACGCCGCTGCTCGCGGCTTTGCTTGATTTTTTCCATGATTTTGATCGTTGGTGGATTTGACGGGTGGTGGTGGTGTGTGCGCCTATGCAGTGGTGTTGCTGATGGTATGATTAGGCGGTGAGTCGTTGAATTTTTTTTACGATTTGTGGTGTTCTGCCAATTCGTGTGCAGTAGCTCTGGTGGTGGTGGTGCCCCTGACAGTGGCTGTGTGCGGTGGTGGAGTTGTTGGCAGTGGTGGAGTTGGTAATGGTGATTTTGGGTGGAAACGGTGGTGAGATTGTGCATAGGTATTGTTATTGTATTTGGTGGTGGCGGTTGTGGTGGTTGGAGAGCTGGTAGAGTTGATTGGCTAGGTTTTTGTTAGCAATTGATTGGATCTGGTGGTGACTATTTTGGCGGTAGCGGTGGCAGTGGTGATGGCGGTGAGGGTGGTGGTGATAGGTGGTTGTGGATATGTGATCCATTGTTTCACCCTTGATCAATGTGACCTTAAAATTTGATAATTGTAACCAATAAATTCGAAAATGTGACTAATAAATAATCTGTGACCTACAATTTTTTAATCTGCGACCAATGATGAAAACTATTACCTATAAAAAAATTTATTTGCAATCTCGAAATAATTTGTGACCAACAAAATTTTTGATTTGCGACCACGAAAAAATCTGTGACCTATAATTGGAGATTTGTGACCTTAATTGTGTAACCCTGACTTTTATTATATTTAAATATTAAATATTTTTAATTAATTACATAAAAACCTGATTTTTGCATAATGAAACTTAACAACTTTAATTTTGAAGTGTGCATACTTAAAACATGGTTTGTGTATTCTTTTATGTTTATTTTTTTGTAGTTAGGTTTAATTCGAAATCATGCAACCGAGAACGGTTTTTATTTTAAAAAAAGAAAAAAAGAAAAAAAAAAAAGATATGGAAATTTTGGAGCACTTGATGAATTAACATGCGATGTCATTTGCTTTCCTAGTTTAGTTTGATGAAATTAATACAAGGGCCTGCTTTAATAAATGGTGAAGGGCCAGAGGCAGATCTTCCCCAGAATATTTAAAAGCCCAAATCCAATCCTAATCCATTTAAAATATATGTGTTGAAATAATGTTTTTCTCTTGCAATGTGACAAAATCCGTCTTGCTTTCATCATTTGGAAACTTTTAACCTCAGTTATAAGTTTGTAGTGACTAATCTGTTTGTCATTTTTTATCATCATTCATAGACCAACCATGTTGAATGGAAAAGTAGGTTCATGCAGTGACGAATCCAAAATTTTGAGTCAGCACATACGATCGTTGATTGTTGACCGTCAACTGCAATAAAGTATTAAGAGCACGTTTGATATCCTTTTTAACAAAAAATGCATTTTGAAATAGTGATTTCATGGATAACGTAAGGTTAAAAAAAAGGAAAAAGTTTTTAATTTGCGCGTAATATTATTTTATTGAAAAATATATGGTTAAAAATAAGATAAATAAAAAAGTATTTTTAAAAAAATGAAAATAAAACAATTCCTAAAATTTAAATATAATAATTATTTTGTTCATATTGAACATATATAATTCTGTTCATATATTCACCAAATGACATTGTTGCCAAATTTCGTATAATTTAAAGGAAGAGCATGATTTTGAATCTTTATAATTTCATTAAACCCAATAAATGTAATATATATTATTTTGTTGAATTAAGTGTCAAAAGCAATGATTGCCATAGTGGTCAGGTTTTTAATGTTCAAAATAGGACCTCATGGTTCGAATCTCATCCAATCCTTTCCTATCGCATTAATTTTGGTAGAAATTGTAAAACTAAAAAATTTGCACAATAAATTGGCTTTGAAGAGATTCGAAACCGAGAAATGTAAACTCTAACCATTTCAACCAGAAGGAGAGTTTGAAAGAACAAAGAATTATCAGTAATATAAACTAAAACCTTAATCTATTGTCAAAAAAAAAACGCTTTCGACGGATCCAGCAAGGGCGGCCGTCCTAACTCGCTACTACCTAGATCCGCCACTGGGTTCATCTTCTCCTTGAACAGTTTCTAAAATTCTACAGGAAGATACGCTTATCAGTGTGAATTTATCGTGAGTCACAACGAATTCTTGTAAAGAGAACTTAAATTTCTTTAAATTTGTATTTTACTTACATTTTCCTCTGTTGTATTTCACATAAGTACACTACTGATATAATCATATGCAGGAACATCCTACTCATGGCGTGAGTTTGTGCCAGTTTTTCAGGCTTGCCGACCTAAAAATGAGGGGAAGGCTACTTTGTGGCATGAAACCTCGAGAGCCAAACCTACGGTCCGTGAAACCTAGTGGGGCCTAATACCACCAAAAAATCGGATCAAATAAGTCATAATTCAGCTTATATTAAGATCCATAAGCACTCTGTGAAATAGCAAAACAAACGCACACCAACCCTGTGAAGTTCAATTTTTCACAAGAACTGTACTCAAAATTAGAATAGAAATAGCAATACTTGGCCTTAATGTAGGTTTAGTTCGTAAAATTTAGGTCCAAATAAACAAACAAGATTGTACATACTTGAAAAGCATGGGCATCATTACGTTAGGAATGCAGCAATGATCCTTACACAGATTAAGAAGGCTTCTCATAGGTATTTTGCTCTCTGAATGATGCAATGGCGCTTCGTATCATCCCAGCCACGTCTGATCGCACAAAAAGATGAGTGTTATCCAATACTTGAATAATGAACTTATCTGCTTGAGGCAGTGCAGCATTCATGTTGATGATAAATTGTGCCATAGGTATGTCACTGTATAAGAAAGATAAAGCATATCCTATTAGATGATAGCTATTGACAGAAAGCACGAAGTGGATGCTCTGCGATATCATGAATTTCACACTAAACGTGGTTAGACTGATGACAGTGTGTACTTAATCAGTCAGATTCAACAAACACGGTAATGCTGGTACAAAATCCAGAAAACAACATTAATTAGTAAAATACATTTGAAGACTGTCTTGTTTCAAAATCTGCTATCTGTTTCAACTATTTTGATTTCAAGTACAGTGTAGAAATAGAGGAAAAACGGCAAAATTCTTGAGTTGCGAAGACCAACTTAAGAGTTGGTTAACAGAGGCTCAACATATCATTCATATATATCATATGTGGTGCAGCTAATCCACACTCGCTATCAAAAAGCAAGTGCAACGGAGTCGAGGATCATTTTGGAAATGACGCCTCAACATGTGTCTTCCCAACAGAAAAAATGAAGAGGGTTTTGTGGAAGTCCCATTTTTTGTGAGGGTAGGGGTCGCAGAAATTGAAAATCAAATGCCACAATAGTTGGAAAATTAACACAATAAAGAATTTTGTCACCAAATAGTAATTTACCATGAAATGTACAATCCTCTGATGGCATTCACCATGATGTATTGTATCTTTAAGCTGCAACATAGAAAAAAACCATTAGAGAGGATTCATTTCACTTCTCAAACTGAACTTCAACAATAAGCCAACATTTGATCACCTATTGCATAGTAAAATGAACTTTTTAAGGGGCGAGATAGATAAGAAAAAATCATAGCACTGCCATCCTCACTCATTCAAGCACCAAAGCAAGTGTTAATACCTAAAGAATAGTTTCGAAATTAAAGAATCCATACATATTCCATTCGAACACCAAAGGATTAATACCGAAACAGCCCCAATTCAAAAATATACATGAACGATTAACCACTGATGATAACTAAATACACCCAGCAGTTCTCTTTAAGGAGGAAAATTTAAAATCGCGAGTGTACTGATCTAGACTCGGGATTTTAATCCCAAAAAAATCCAACAATCCATTTATCTGGAAACCAAGTAGACCTACTGTTTTGTTGCCTTTGATCAATCTACAGCCTCACGCATATAATCTTAATTCAAGTACTTCAATTTCTAAAGATTCAGATAACAAGACCTCCAAATCAGGGGTGCATCCACCTGGGTATTTCACCTATTACACTTGAGGGGAGACTAGTTTTAAGGGCAAGGAGAAAACCATGAACAACCACATCAAAATCACTGTTGCTACCATCAAGAAACAACAATTTTGGAACAAATAAATTTTAAGGAGTTGAGTTGAAGTTAAACCATTCAATGCAATCCGATCGAGTGAGATTTCAACTTATAAAGCCCGTTTTTAAACTAATAAAATCCGATACTACCTTCCAAGCTCAGTGGTGAAGATGTCGAGTAGAAATCACTGCAACACAAGGTAAATTGGTGCCAAAGGGGTGATGAATTGTCTCCCTTTCGGCCTCTCCTTCAGGCCCAATTTTTGTGTAATACCGAAGGAAGAAACCCTTGAGAAAAATTAGACAAATCCAATATTTTATATTTATTACCTTTACTTTTGACGAACCAGCTAAAATAATTATTAAGCCCTGTTTGGTGGCCTTAAAAATTTTAAAAATAGTTTTGTATATGGTATTTTTTGAAAAATATGTGAATGAAAATGATGAAAATTTTGTCGACTGGTGGTTGATAATAATTTTAAAGCAAAATAAATTAAAGGTTGTCAAATAAGGGCTAAATATTTAGAAAATTTAATCACTTCAAAAAATTAAAATTTTATTTTGCTCATGTTTGATAACAATTTTTCACCCCAAAAAATCAATTTTTGATCGTTATTTCAGTTGTCATTTTTCACTTCTTCACTCACAGGTGGAACCTACTTTTCTCTCTAACAATTAAAAAATCAATTCTCATAATCACTACCAAACATTCCCTTTAATCTTGGTTCTTTTACGTTTCTGGAAATGTTCCCAAAATTACGTTATTTTAGATGATTTATTTTCTTCTTTATCGCAACCTAACATAAAGGAAGAGCGATTCGATCATTGAAGTACTGCGGGAAAATGATATTTAATAAAATGATTCAAATTGTCGCCTCATATACAGATGCTTGAGAATATTTACACTTCTTAATAGGAATATAGCACTTCGATTGTGACATGACCGAAAATATGCAAAAACAATGAACACTTGCACTCAAGTATGTGAAATTGTAATGGAGAAAAAATGGGTCTCAAAGATCAATGTAAATGGGAAACCCTGTGAATGCAAAAGCATTCAAATAATTTAAGATCTTTGCTGTAACAAATATAAGTTTCACAATCATTACAAAGAGAAAAATGTGCTAGAACAAGCCAGCTGATGCTGCTATTCTTCAATACATTACAGCATTCGACGGGCCAATGACTCGATCTACAGTGAATGCTCATCGTCTTCCAGTGCATTATAAATCATCCTACACCGAAGAAAATGGTTATTGAGACAGTTCGAAAACAGAGGTTAACTCTAATTGTTGTAATCGAAGAGATTGCAGCTATTCACTCACCAAAACAAGGACATGAAGAGAAGAAGTATCACGTAGCCCAGTTTGAAAAGGCGCTGCTTCTTTTCCCAATTGAGCAAGTTGAATATCTCGGTCACATCTACAAGGTGCTGTCTTCGCATATACCTGATTCAAAGAGAGTGGCTAGATTTGTTATCTAGAACTGTCATAAAAAAATAAAAAAGAGCTTATCTAACTAACCAATGAACAAATGGCAAAGCCAAAATTTTTCGCACTAAAGCAACATTTTTCTCATTTGCTGCAACAGTATGTTAGCAATTATCAATATCCTATATGTTTTAGCACAGTTCCACGCACAAAGAACGAACTGATGATATAACTGTGTAAACAGAAGAAAATCCAAAAATATTGGACATATTGAAAATTAGCACTTTAAAATTCTACCAGGTGAATATGTTAATGTAATTAAAAGACTCAAAAATGCATAACTGTGCACAGTTGTTCCAAGAATATCGCAATCTACTGACAAATAATCTCCCAATCTATTTATAAATTTACTAAATTTGCCAATCACTCGAACATTGATTGCAAAAAAGTTATGGTGAAATTATAACTACAATCCAATTCAACTCTATAAAGCACTAACATTCAGATCAATCCTGATATAACATCAACGCCAACTAGCATAAGCCATAGATTATCTATACTACCAGTATAGCTGATTGGGTGTCCTTGACTGACTTTCAAGATCAAACATCATCTTTCCCCCCATTTTATTATATTTTCGTTCTATCTACTCTATAATCCTGTTCCACTTGTAGATTATAAACCAACAATCGACTTGTACCATGAACCAATAGCCATATGCAAGCAGCAGGTTAGATGTTTTATAGAATCTTACAAGGCATTAATATAACCATGGCCAATGGGATACCTAAACTGCTCAAGACTGTTCTGTAACTTCCACTAGTGCTCCAAAGTTAAACTGTCACACTTCAACAGTAATGTTGCAAGTATAATTACTCCTGGGTCCAGACTATATCGTGTGAAAAATTGTCTGGGGGAATATCTTGGATCAGTATAAATAAAATGCAGAATGTGTCAACATCGTGGTGTCAAATAGCCCCATTGAACTTACCTCCGATTTGATTTGCAACTCAACTAATTTTCCAATCATTGCGATTCACACCAGTTCGGACGAATTAAGATAAAAAAGGGTTCTCCTAATATATATCTAAATTGCAACAAATCCTTTTAGCACATGAACCAAACCCAATTTTACGAGTCGTCAAATCCGTCTATTTTCTTACCTGCTCTAGAACTTTCATACTCAGACCAAAAATCAACAATTATGTGGGCAAAAAAAATTCTGACTCATTTATAAATAGATCGTGCCATAGGTATGTCACTGTATAAGAAAGATAAAGCATATCCTATTAGATGATAGCTATTGACAGAAAGCACGAAGTGGATGCTCTGCGATATCATGAATTTCACACTAAACGTGGTTAGACTGATGACAGTGTGTACTTAATCAGTCAGATTCAACAAACACGGTAATGCTGGTACAAAATCCAGAAAACAACATTAATTAGTAAAATACATTTGAAGACTGTCTTGTTTCAAAATCTGCTATCTGTTTCAACTATTTTGATTTCAAGTACAGTGTAGAAATAGAGGAAAAACGGCAAAATTCTTGAGTTGGGAAGACCAACTTAAGAGTTGGTTAACAGAGGCTCAACATATCATTCATATATATCATATGTGGTGCAGCTAATCCACACTCGCTATCAAAAAGCAAGTGCAACGGAGTCGAGGATCATTTTGGAAATGACGCCTCAACATGTGTCTTCCCAACAGAAAAAATGAAGAGGGTTTTGTGGAAGTCCCATTTTTTGTGAGGGTAGGGGTCGCAGAAATTGAAAATCAAATGCCACAATAGTTGGAAAATTAACACAATAAAGAATTTTGTCACCAAATAGTAATTTACCATGAAATGTACAATCCTCTGATGGCATTCACCATGATGTATTGTATCTTTAAGCTGCAACATAGAAAAAAACCATTAGAGAGGATTCATTTCACTTCTCAAACTGAACTTCAACAATAAGCCAACATTTGATCACCTATTGCATAGTAAAATGAACTTTTTAAGGGGTGAGATAGATAAGAAAAAACCATAGCACTGCCATCCTCACTCATTCAAGCACCAAAGCAAGTGTTAATACCTAAAGAATAGTTTCGAAATTAAAGAATCCATACATATTCCATTCGAACACCAAAGGATTAATACCGAAACAGCCCCAATTCAAAAATATACATGAACGATTAACCACTGATGATAACTAAATACACCCAGCAGTTCTCTTTAAGGAGGAAAATTTAAAATCGCGAGTGTACTGATCTAGACTCAGGATTTTAATCCCAAAAAAATCCAACAATCCATTTATCTGGAAACCAAGTAGACCTACTGTTTTGTTGCCTTTGATCAATCTAGAGTCTCACGCATATAATCTTAATTCAAGTACTTCAATTTCTAAAGATTCGGTTAACAAGACCTCCAAATCAGGGGTGCATCCACCTGGGTATTTCACCTATTACACTTGAGGGGAGACTAGTTTTAAGGGGAAGGAGAAAACCATAAACAACCACATCAAAATCACTGTTGCTACCATCAAGAAACAACAATTTTGGAACAAATAAATTTTAAGGAGTTGAGTTGAAGTTAAACCATTCAATGCAATCCGATCGAGTGAGATTTCAACTTATAAAGCCCGTTTTTAAACTAACAAAATCCGATACTACCTTCCAAGCTCAGTGGTGAAGATGTCGAGTAGAAATCACTGCAACACAAGGTAAATTGGTGCCAAAGGGGTGATGAATTGTCTCCCTTTCGGCCTCTCCTTCAGGCCCAATTTTGTGTAATACCGAAGGAAGAAACCCTTGAGAAAAATTAGACAAATCCAATATTTTATATTTATTACCTTTACTTTTGACGAACCAGCTAAAATAATTATTAAGCCCTGTTTGGTGGCCTTAAAAATTTTAAAAATAGTTTTGTATATGGTATTTTTTGAAAAATATGTGAATGAAAATGATGAAAATTTTGTCGACTGGTGGTTGATAATAATTTTAAAGCAAAATAAATTAAAGGTTGTCAAATAAGGGCTAAATATTTAGAAAATTTAATCACTTCAAAAAATTAAAATTTTATTTTGCTCATGTTTGATAACAATTTTTCACCCCAAAAAATCAATTTTTGATCGTTATTTCAGTTGTCATTTTTCACTTCTTCACTCACAGGTGGAACCTACTTTTCTCTCTAACAATTAAAAAATCAATTCTCATAATCACTACCAAACATTCCCTTTAATCTTGGTTCTTTTACGTTTCTGGAAATGTTCCCAAAATTACGTTATTTTAGATGATTTATTTTCTTCTTTATCGCAACCTAACATAAAGGAAGAGCGATTCGATCATTGAAGTACTGCGGGAAAATGATATTTAATAAAATGATTCAAATTGTCGCCTCATATACAGATGCTTGAGAATATTTACACTTCTTAATAGGAATATAGCACTTCGATTGTGACATGACCGAAAATATGCAAAAACAATGAACACTTGCACTCAAGTATGTGAAATTGTAATGGAGAAAAAATGGGTCTCAAAGATCAATGTAAATGGGAAACCCTGTGAATGCAAAAGCATTCAAATAATTTAAGATCTTTGCTGTAACAAATATAAGTTTCACAATCATTACAAAGAGAAAAATGTGCTAGAACAAGCCAGCTGATGCTGCTATTCTTCAATACATTACAGCATTCGACGGGCCAATGACTCGATCTACAGTGAATGCTCATCGTCTTCCAGTGCATTATAAATCATCCTACACCGAAGAAAATGGTTATTGAGACAGTTCGAAAACAGAGGTTAACTCTAATTGTTGTAATCGAAGAGATTGCAGCTATTCACTCACCAAAACAAGGACATGAAGAGAAGAAGTATCACGTAGCCCAGTTTGAAAAGGCGCTGCTTCTTTTCCCAATTGAGCAAGTTGAATATCTCGGTCACATCTAC